CCGCCTCTTTTCTCCCGCTCCGCCCCCACTTCGCCGCCGTGCTCCGCCCACATCCGCACCCACAGCTGGGCAGCGCCGCCCTCACCCCCCGCACCCACAGCTGGGCAGCGCCTCCCGCCCCGCCGGGCACGGCTCCGGCACCGGGAGCTGCGCTGCGGCTGTTCCTGCACCCAGGGGAACCCGTCAGAGGCTGCTCTGGCCGCGCCATGCCCGAAGTCCTGGGCGGGGATGGTTGCCCCAGCCGGCAGGCAGGGCTGCGCTCGGGCGGACGGGTGTGCTCAACGCGACTGTCACAGGGACAGGAAGAACCTGGCGCTGGTGGCTCTGGCTCTCCTCGGGGACCAAAAAGAGAAAAAAAAAAAAAAAAAAAAAAAAAAAAAAGAAGGAGGGGCGGGGGAAACGCGAAAGAAAACGACGCAAAGACCACATTGCCATAACAGTTGCGTTAAGGACGTGTGAAATAACTCCGTGTCACTTACCTAAACGTAGTTTGCAGGTGCGTCAGAAAACAGCAGATAGATCTCTCAACAAATCGATCTGTTGTTACAACTAAGTTTATTTCAAGCAGTTTCGACATGTTCCCATTCTGTGGGCTCATTTTCGAACGCTGAATTTGCAAGTAAAACCATCCTACATAAGTGTCAGTTTTTGTATAGGAATGACAAAGGAACTTACCTTTAGAGTCACCCCAGTCAAGTGTAACATTATATCTAGAAATTCACTGACAGTGACCCCAGACTCAAGTGAACCTCCATGGCTTTTTCTCTGACCCCACACAGATAATTTTTTCCTCAGCCCACTTTCCCCCTCTACACTTCCTTTGTGAGGGAAAGAAAATGTTTAATGGCCTTAGCTTGGAGACTGTGGTTTCGCTGCTAGACAGCTCTCTTCACCCAGATGATGGAAGGTCTCAGTCACTGCCATTTGCTTGCCCAGGAATATGACAGAAAAGCCTGTGTGGCAGCTTCAGCAATACTTCCACAAAGCCACTCACATGAGCAGTTTTCAGTACTCAGTGTTGCCTAAGCACGGCTAGCTCTGCTCCTTCTCCCACTAGGTCAGCCAAGAGACAGGAAACCAAAATAAGCTCTTTCTAGCACTACCTTCCTCACCAAGAAAAACATGGTTACTCCTCCCCTATCCATGTGAATACCTCTGTCCCTGGCCTTTGCCTGATGGCTTTCTTCTCCCTTGAGTCCTCCTGCTGCCAGTTTTCTGGGCAGCAATTCTACCACAGCCTCAGGGACCAGGAGAGCTGGGCTGTCCCATGGCAAGATGATCTAGGGGTGATCAGAGCCAAAATCCAAGCTCACCAGCCTGGATAGAGTCCTGCAGCACAAGAGCAGGGCAGACACTAATGGGCACACCCACATGAGGTGAGGTGATGAACCGAACCAGGTACAAGGTCCACCCAGGTAATTCGGGCAGGAGCAGCAGGAGATGGTGCCAGGAACAGAACTGGAAACACAGGTCCAAGGTTCACCCAGGAGATGGAGCTGAAGGGAGCGACACCTGTGATACAGCCAGGCAGGGACTGAAGGTGCTGGGCTGTGTTGAAAAGGAGCTTTTGCCCTATAAGCAAGAGGTGGGAGCCCCAACCTACTTGAGTGAAGGTCATCAGGGCCTTAGTCAGTGCACCTAGACTCCAGTTCTCCTATGGACCTGAAGAGCGATTCTGAGTCAGTCCTGGACTGGACACCAGTATCCATCTCCTCCTCCACTGCTGGTTTTGGGATGAACCTAGGCACAGGGGAGGCACAGCTTGGCTGTATAGATTGTGGGGCTAAGAGCAGAGTTCAGCAGCTTCACTAGACACTGAGAAGAAGCACATGGTCTTGACACATAGGAAGGAAATTCCTGGGGAGAAAGCATGAAAGTATGAGTAGGTTGCAGAAGGTGACACCTAACTGAGGGGGTCCATCACAGATCAGGAGATCTGGCGAATGTGTAGACGAGCCACTGAGACCATCAGCCAGCAAGCTGATTTTAAAGACTTAAATGAGAGCTTTCAGCAGCTCTGTCAGGATCACATTGGTATCCTGAAGCAAAAGGGATTTATAAAAGACTGCGTGGAAAGAAATTCCCTCATCCCGTAAGAATTTCAGAAACTTGGAGAAAGGCAGAGGCAATTGTCTTGAGTAAAGATAACAAATAAATACAACCCCCAAACTGAAAAATGCTATTCATGTTTCAGTAATTTTAAAAATGTGGGAAATATGTCTAGGATGTTTCAAATCCTTTAACTTTTTTTTTTTTTTTTTTTTCCCCCCCCAGGAAAAAAAGCCACATAAAATTCATGTCCATCTTCTGAGTGACTTTTAGTTTGACTAGCTGGCATGTTTCTCGATGGCCAAGCACTTCCCCGTCAGACTTCCCAGTACAGTATTGTCGGGAATTATTAGTCCTCGACACCTGCACTATCCTGTGCCCACCCACCACAGACCGAACGCACCAGCACCTGCCCCAGCAGCCGCCACGCCCTTGCTCGCTTTCCTCCTGCAGGACTCGTCCCCTGGCCGGAGTGATGACCTCGAGAAACCGCCCCCCGTTCCCGGACCAAGGAGGCACTGCCTTCTTTCCCACACCGCAGTCGCGGGGCGAGTTTCTGAGGGGGAGGAGCAGCGCGGGTTCCCCACGGACACCCCACCGGGAAGCCGTTCCGCGCAAGCCCGGAGGAGCGGGCG